AGCCAATCAAAATCAAGAATCTATTCGTAGATCATTCTAGAATGCGATTTCCTAATTTGGTATATTCCCAGACTGAATTATAGCGATAGGAAATTTTTACCAGCCTGATATAGTAGAGTACTTTACTTAAAAATAACAATTAAGTAATTATTACTTAATTTAATTCTTTGCCATTATTCCATTATTACCATTCTTAACTCATACAACCTAATTTTTGATCTACACAGTGCATTGAAAACCCCAGTGTACTACTTTTTTATGTAATACTAGAATTTAAGTTATAATGAATACGATTTTGAGTCCGCCAATTGATAAATCTCTCACAGATAACTTTTGATATAATTAACAATCGTACTTAACAATGTCAAGGTGGCAAGATCGCAAGCAGCCTGATGTTCTCCTTTTGTTTGACGTCGATGGAACACTGACTCCCGCTCGGAGGGTAAAGAATGTTTATTCAATTAATGCAATAGATATCAGTTATAGTTTAAGTAATTGGTTCTTTTTTTGTTAATATAGACAGTAACTCCAGAAATTCTGGAATTACTTAAATTAGTGAGAAAGGAAGCAGTTATTGGATTTGTTGGTGGATCTGATCTTGCAAAACAACAAGAGCAACTTGGACCTAATAGTAAGACAATTATTTCTTGAATGATTCTTTACGAATTAAGGCATTCATTATTCACAATTTATCCTGAATTCTTTTATATAGTACTCGCAGATTTTGATTATGCATTTTCGGAAAACGGACTTATGGCATACCGAAAGGGTGAACAACTGGAATCGCAGGTTTGTCTATTTTTTACAATTTAGAAACATCTTAATCAAAAAATATTTCACCACATTTAACATTGGTATTAATTTGTCTTTTATAGAGTTTTATCGGATGGCTTGGTGAAGAAAAATATAAAAAATTGGTTAATTTTATTCTTCGATATATAGCAGATATTGATCTTCCAATTAAACGGTAAAATTACGTATCTTAACTCACATGATAAATCAAAAAAAGTATTCATGCTAAATTAATATTTGTTATAGTGGAACATTCATCGAATTCAGAAATGGTATGATCAACGTGGCACCGGTTGGACGTAATTGCACGTAAAGTATCTCAAATTCTGAAATTATTTGGGAGTGAAGACAAGATAAAAAATAAGTGATGCAAATTATTATTTTTAGTGTCGAAGAACGAAACAAATTTGAAGAATACGATAAGGTATGACTGATTATTTATCTAAATCTAAACAAGATATTTAATATTAATACAGCATTTGTTATTAGATCCATAAAATTCGCCCTAAACTCGTAGAGGCATTGAAGAAAGAATTTAAAGATTTTTCGCTCACTTACTCAATCGGTATGACGCGTTTATCCATTTATTTGATTGTAGTAATAATAATTAAGCATTTTCCGGTTTATATTTGTAAATTAAGGCGGACAAATATCGATTGACGTTTTTCCGACAGGTATAGTTCAAAATATCAATATCACGTGATGGTGGAATATAATATTAAAGTAATTTTAATTAATCAATTGATAGGCTGGGATAAAACCTATTGCTTAAAGCATGTTCAAAATGAAGGGTTCAAGGTAATTCACTTTTTTGGAGATAAAGTTTATGAGGTAATATTTTCTTTCGACTTTCAATGGATTCTATTCATCTATATTATTGGCATTATTAACGTTATTTACATGATTTATTATAAATAATAATGGATTATTTTAGGGTGGTAATGATTGGGAAATTTATAACCACGAGTCGATCGTAGGACATTCAGTCAAGAATCCTGAGGATACAATGAGACAAGTGAAAGAATTGTTTCCTCATCTTTTTTCATAATTTTAATGAATTTATTTATAATGTTGTACCTTGTCAAATTAATGTTAGAACAATTTACTCATATCGAATGTAACCTTCGCGTTGTCTAGTAGTAAAATTCTTTTTTCCTTTTTGTTTTCTATAAGTAGTCTGAATAAATTCATAAAAATATTTAAAATACCATAACAAATTGTCATATCTTCCATCATATCCAC